AGAGATAAGTTGGTATGATAATCAACATGATTCTGAATTTCTGCAATACTATGCAATAATAGGTTAGTCTTCATGTTGAAAATGTTGCCAAAGACTACCTTGTTCCATCTTTTTAAATTTGGAGTCAGATCATGCAGATTCGTTCTAGTGTCTTTCACAACATTCCAGCTCCTAGCCAGAAACTGAGTAAAGTTATAATGCTCCATCCAAGCAATCTCAAAGCGAAAGGGACGATTTTTCCAACCTGTGTCCAAGTTAGTCAAGTAGACCAAAATGGGACTATGATCAGAATAAATCTGTGGAAGTACCTTAACGCCAGCATCAGTAAAGGTAGTCTTCCAACTTGCATTAGCACAGGCTCGGTCCAGCCTCTTAAAAACACGATCAAGATGAAGAAACTTCGGACCCTTCCATGTAAACCAAGGACCCGATCCTCCAAGATCCAACAGCTTGCAATTATGAAGAACATTTGCAAAATTGGAACATCTGTTTAAGTTAACTCTACAACCACCTTCCTTCTCATCACGATTTGCTATTTCATTAAAATCCCCAGCCTGGACTGGACACCTCTTACCCGTGCTTGAAGAAGGAGCCGCATGCATAGTAGGAACCGTTGAATTAGTCCTAGGGGTATCTTTGGACTTTTTGGATTTAGTCCATATTTTCTAAGGAATTTCAAACTGAGGGGCCCCCATATGAGGAGTAACAGAATTAATTATTTGATTATGATCCTCCTCATTAATAGGTCTAGCTATTAAGATTGCAAACCGTGATTGCGTAATTTCCTCCTTATCACCATGATTATCGCTGGTCATAACTCCCTTATTACCATGATTACCATGATTATCGCTGGTCATAACTCTCTTATCACCATGATTATCTCCATGATTATCGCTGGTCATAACTCCCTTATCATTATTCCTTTGTAACGTTTTTGAACCAGCGCCTGGCTGGACTGCACCGGCCGTCTGAGGAGGTTGCCGGCTCCTGCGTTGACGGTTAACAACCATCCAAGGTCCCAATCCTTTGCTTCGATGGAATTCTGAGTTGCCAGGTTCCTCTTGATGAATTTGATCGTCATTATGAATATCGGATGAACTGCGTTGCTTTGGAGCAGCTGAACAATTCTCGGTGCTATGTCCATATTTTCCACAACCAAAACAAATGAGCCCTAATCCTTCATACTCAATTTGTTTGGTAAATCCTTCCAGCACATAATCACCCTTTAATGGCTGAGATAGGTCCAGTTCCACACATATTCTTGCAAACCGTCCTCTTACATGAGCATTTGTATTGCTGTCTACCTTGATCATCTTGCCTAACCAGTTTCCAATCCTTCTAAAAAAAGCTTCATCATAGAATTCAATGGGAATATCCGGTAGACGAATCCAGGCAGCAATCTTAGCAATTCCAGCACTATTAGGTCTGAAAGTTGGTTCCCACTTCCTCAACGATAAATAATGACCCAAAACAATCCATGGACCACCGTTCAACGCAAAATTGAGATCATCCTTCTCACTAAACTGGACTAGGAAAAAGTCATTACCAATATCAGTGACATTGATTTTGCCTTTTCTAGCCCATAAGACATTTATTTTTTTCTTCATAAACTCCACCCCAATTTTCTTCCCAAGGAGTTTAACAATCAGAGCTTTCTCCCAAGGTTTCCTCATTCTCTTCCTTGCTCTTTTGGTGCAACTAAAATAAGTACGCCCATCATCTTCCTCCCACATCTTAATTCCTCCATGGTTGACATCCTCTTCCTCAGCAGGTTCCTCCCCATCCAAGTCTTCCTCAGCAGACGCCTCTCCTTCCCATTCATCATCTTCTCCATTATGACGCATCAGAATTTCCCTCCAGGTTGAACGTTGGCCATTCTCATCTTCCATCCAACCTTCATGTCTAGGTATCATAGATACATCATTTGAAAACTGATCTCCCTCACCTTTATTCCTCTTATTACTTCTTTGAAGAATGTCAAGTTCTTCACTTGATTTGCCAGGATTCTTCCCATGATCACATTTCTCTCTCTCACTCATCGCTCAATCTCTATCCAAGGTATAACTTAAGCTTTTAGGTTGAATTGGTTTTTACATGGTATCAGAGCCTCCGTGACCAAGTGGTTACGAGTTCGATTCTCACTGCCCTATTATCCACCCTTCAAGTCCAATAGACTCTTGTGTAAGGGGCCGTGTTAGAGAAATATAAAAATCATTAAAAAGACCTTCACTTAACAAATTAAGCTTTTACATGTATGAATTTTATTTCATGTGCGATGAATTTCCGCATTTTTGAAACCTTGGATGTTGTGATTCCAAATTATTTTGTAATCTCTAAAAAAAAAAACTCCTCTAGTAGATTTAGAATTTCATATCCTTTGGAAACAACTACGCTAGCAGATTCAGCATTTCCATTATGATCGTCATGGTGCTTCCATTGATGGAGTATTAAAGAATGCATTATATCTGTGTTTGATTTTTTTTATTTTTTTTTAAATATTCGTAGGTTGTAGTCTAAGAAAGTTTTGAGTTTTTATGTTTATAAAACCTTTTTGTGTCATGTAAACCACGTACACATTGGAAGATGCTACAGTATGCTGATTATAATTTTCTTCATAATTATTTCTGTAGAAGAAATTGATAAGGAATTTTTTGACTAATCAGTCATTATTCTTTATCTTTGGTATTATTATCTGGTTAAGATAATATTCATTTAGAGCTTGGGAATATAAGTGTCTTTTCTGGTCTGGGTTTTTTATCGGGTTGATATTTTTGTGCTTATTATAATGGAGTGGGATGATCAGTTTTTGTGTAACTTTTATAGGTAATGTATGATGCCTCAGGAGTTAGATTTCATGCAGGTCGGCAAGCAGAAGTAAGTTCTTTTACTTAATCGTAGTGTTATTGTCTTGCTTTACATTTTGCTCTTAATTTTTATATATACATACACATTTCAAATGTTGCTTTCTGTCATGTATTGCAGTTGCTTAATCAAATTGTGTGCGAACTACCTCCAGAACATCCTTTATCCAATGTCAGACCTCTGCGTGATTCACTCGGTCATACTCCACTTCAGGTGCATTGTGCTCTTTGCAGTGCTTACTGTCGTTCCTGTGCTTCCTTGTTATGGTAGATGTCTGCTATTTACACTTTTCTGTGTGGTGACCAGCAGCATCCTTCAATTTTCATTAACAAGTAATATCTGTTGTTTGGAGTATATTTCTCCACAACCTCTTGTCATGTGCCAGTGTGTGGCCGAACCCCATAATAGCTGGCCTTAGCTTTCAAAATCTAATTGCTAAAATAATTATTTAGTGACATAGTTGCTATGCATCATTGGTCCATTAGTACCTTAATAACTCATGTTTGGTGCATTAGGATATGAGAATTGCATTGTGAGAACCATTACTTTGTCCGAAACTTTAGAGTCCTCTGTTTCTGACTCTGTTCAATACATTTTTTAACCATTATGCAAGTCTCAGTGACTGCCATTTTCTGTTGTATAGGTTTTTGCCGGTGGCTTATTGGGATGCATTATAGCGTTTTTGATGAGGAAATCCAATTAAGATGCCATGTGATGTGACTTATACTAGTTCTCTACCTTGTCACAAATATCGGTGCATGACCGACAAGATTGAGAGCATCATGGAAAGGTCATAAAAGGTTGCTGTTGTTGCAAGCATGCAAGCGTGTGAAGAGTAAAATGCGTGGAGGGTTTACCATGGTGCCGGGAGATCCTGCGTCCTGACTTTGGACTTTCAGAATTCCCTTGTACTCATTAATTGATCTGTCTGCTAAATCTGGCTTAATTGATTATTGAACACAGTTTGAGAAACGTTGGCCATTCTTTGATTTATTAATTTCCGCTTATTGTTGGAAATTGAAAGGCGCTTTGAGGTTGCATTTTATGTTAAAGTGCAAAATTTATGTTTGAGAAACGATGCCTTCTAACTTTAACGGTAGATCAAAATTTATGTTTCTGCACAGATATGGCCTGTCATGTCTTTTTTTATGATCACATGCTTAAGAAGGGGTCACGAGCTTTTTTTTTTTTACTCAGATGAACACAATATTAATTATACTTTTTGAGATAGTGAATGTTGATTTTCATCCGTTGGTTCAGATTTCCTAGCTATTCAAATTCAAGAGGTGGTAAAATAAAAAATGTTCATATTACCAAAAAGGTCTATATTCCAGAGGTGAGAATACGTCTTAGGGTGTTTGGTACAGGAGAATTTTTTTTTAATCAAGTAAATATAATTATTAGAAAAATGGTAGAAAAGTAAGTTTGGTAAGAAAATTTTAAATAAGGTGTTTGATTGATCAAAATATTACTGGAGAAATTAAGTTAAATTATGTGAGTTTATGTTTGGTTGAAAGTAAAATATAGATGAGAAAATTGGTATTAATGATGAAAATAACCTTTATTTAAATTTTTTAATGTTACAAAGACGATGGGAGTAGTTGAGCGTTACTTTGCTCAGTATTAAAACGGGATAGTTTTGTCAATCCCTTTAATCCACTTTTTGCCATTTAGCTATGCTTATTGAAATACCACATTCAAAGTGGTCAAATGGCACAGAAGTTTTCTTGCTTTTTTGCACACTTTTGGCAATGGCTAGGCAACCGTGTTTCATGGATATATTTGTAGTTCTTTTCTACCAAATGAAGACAACTCACAATACCACTTATGAATGATCGGGAAAATTTGCATATAACCTGAACCAAACAGCCCTTTATAGTAGTTTTTTGAGAAAATTTATCAAGTTACGTGTTTGTCGTTGGAATTTGAAATATGATACATTGATACTCTCCCGTGTCAAATGATGCAACATGAAATCATATTGCTCTCTCTCTCTCTCTCTCTTCACGAATTCAAATTACAAAAAAAAAAATGGCGGGAAATTAGGCCGTTTTGTTACTATATTTCATTAATTCAACTGCATGAACCCAAAGAGAAACCAAAACCTCATCCCAGAATCAAACCTCACTTGTACTTCCATGGCGGAAACCTTAAGCCCTAATCGGACAACGGGTCAGAAACCGAGGCTTCCCATATCCGCTCGTATCCTATCTCCTACGAGCCCTTTCTTTGTGGGCTCCAACGACGACCAACATGAACGCGCCCAGGCCCGTGCAGCCCGTGCCATCGCCCTTCGCCGCAAGTCCCATGCTGTAAACTTGCAGTCCCAACGCTCCGATTCGGATCCCTATCTCAACAGGCACCAGATTCTTGACTTGTTCCACAACTGCATAAGGCTAGCCCGCGAAAATGTGATTTCATATGCTAGTTCATCAATTTTTATTTTCTTCACTTTTTCTTACTATTTATAGCTTTTATTCTGACATGAAGTTTGTTTTATTTGTGTGCAGAAAATTAATCAGAAAAACACGTGGGAGTTGCAGTTGATTGATCACCTTACTGATATTATTAGGGCTGAAGAAGATAATGACGTGGATACTAATTTTCAAATGGTAAGTCGTGCTTACTACTTGATAGTTTGGTTTCAAATGTTGTTCAAAAATTTCAGTTCGTTTTCGTTCCAAATCAACGTTGATTTTGAGAATGGTATGAAAATATTATCATCTTTCCGCAGGCACTGGTTGGTTTTATGGGTTCGGATGTGTTGAATTGTGCTTCTTTTTTATTTTATTTTATGTTTTGTTGTTTGGGGGGAATCTGAATCCACATAAATATTGACACTCTCCAGTCTCAACCACTAGATTTCCAGAATTAAATTTTTGTTTATAATTACGCAGGACTTACAAGGTAAATGTATAATGAATCAGACATCTGTGACACTAAAAGCAAATTTATGTATGTATATATATATGTCACATTTATTGATTCTTTATTTGGGCAGGCAAGCTGCACTCTTGAAGCTGGAGTCAAAATTTATTCAGTAAGGGTGGATTCGGTGCACTCGGAGGCATATAAAGTCCTTGCTGGGATGAATAGAGCAGGACAAGAAACTGACGAAGGTAACAATAATTACCTTCTTGTCAAGCTTAGAATGAACTTTTTTTTTTCGCTTCATAGCAATTGTTTCGTCATTTGGTTTGTGGATGGGTGCTATGAGGAATTGAGGATTGATTTTCTTCCTTAATTGTATAACAAGTTATCTTATATTCGTCTCTGAATTCTGAATGACTGCAATAAGCATTCTGCAGTAAATTTACAGTTGGTATTTTAACATTTTATTCTTTACTAGTTCTAATGTATGGGGATTTATTTTCTTCCTTAACTGTGCAACAAGTCATCTAATTCTTCTTAATATTTGGTATCTTATGAATGTCACCGAATTCTGAATGGCTTCAATGTGCTCTCTGCAGTACATTTACTGTTGGTATTTTAACATTTTATTCTTTACTAGTTTTAATGTTGTGTCATAATGTCAGACACTACTCTGGAGTGTGTTAATGCGGAAGGTGGACAAGAAGAAAACAGGAAAGGTATAGACAAAAAGGTTAGTCCTTGGATCTCTGGAATGGACTGGACTGAATAATCAAACTTTTTTTCTCAGTTGTAAGAGGTGTGTTTGTTCATGCAGTTGTCACCTTTGTCAACATTGGAATCTTCTTTTGAGGTTCTTAATGTAAAGAAGTTCGATGGTGATAACAAATCTCATTTGATTTCTGTTACCTGTTTGGGGTGTGGGATTGAGATAGTGCTGACAATCTATTTGTTTTTTCAGTTGCATTTACTGTGGATCCCCTCTATCGCCAGACATCAGCACAATTTGATGAAGGCGGAGCCAAAGGTCTTTTGATGAATAACCTCGGTGTATATGGTGGATGTAGGGTGCTCTTTGATTCACTAGAAGTGCCTGGGAAGTGCATATCCAGTCCAAATGAACATGATATTTCAGATACAATTAATCTTTCTTTTGCCAGAGGTGTGTTGCTTTTTGAAATGTCTGACAAAAATGTTGTCACATTACAAATAGAAACATTTAATATGGACCTGGGACTTGCTTATCTTCTGTATAGATTGTATTGAACAGATGGTATTGAACATTCATATGAAGGATGAAATCTCTCCAACTCTCAGGGTGATAGTAAATCAATTTGACAATGATAACAGAAGGCCTTCTGATTGTCAATTTTCGAGCCAGAAGGCAGCTGAAGAGTTTGATGCAGCTATTGCTTGTGGAATTGGGGCTGAAAGAGAAGAATATGATAACTACCAGCCATGGAACGATGATCATGATAACGTACCATTTGTTACTGAAGTGAGCTCCATTGATGCATACCCAAGTTTTCCAAGTTACCCTCAGGTTTTGTAATTTTTCAGCCCTAGAACGTCCATTCCTGTCTTGGAAGATATTTTAGAAGATATTTTTTTGCTATTATTTTATGTGATTGATTGACCTTTAATTACATTGCAGGAAAGAGAACCTTTTCCTCCCCAAGACCTAGATATGGATGAAATATTTGAAAATGTCGATGGGTATTTATTTTTTAGTCTGGGTTTTAAGTCAAAGAAAAATGCATGGGCAGGTCCTGATCATTGGAAGTATCGAACAACTAAAGGTGGGTTGTAGGAGGCCATTTAGGGATTGTAATGGTTATATGGATTTTGGGATTTCAGTGTGTTAATCAATTTAGAATCTGTTTTTTAGGCTCTAAGTCAGAGGTTTATTGTACTTCTGAAGATGGGTCGACCCTGAAAACTAGGCATCCAAGGACTAAGAGACATATGGAAGTTGATTTAGATTTCACAAATTTTCTTGAGAAAAAAATGACTGATATCTTTTCTCCTCCCAAGAATCCCAAATTGTTACTGCTCCCTGAAAATAGATCACCTTGCGTTACAAAACTTCCAGAGGACTGCCACTATGAGCCAGAGGATCTTGTCAAGTTATTTCTTTTGCCTAATGTAAAGGTATTTTCTTTAAGATATAGAAATTAGTTTCAAATATCTTTATCCGAGTTCCGGAGTAATATTTATTTGCTTCTCCATGTTAGTTAAAATCTTGATTGATTATTACGTTTTTATGATTTTTTTTCCATCAAAACGTTTTTATCAATATTCCAAGCGCTTTTATGTTTTTACGATTTTTTTACGATTCTCGTTTTTAACTACCTTGTGTTTCTCTTATGCTTGCTATTTTTTTTTTCAGTGTCTTGGGAGGAGGGCAAGAAAGTTAGGTAAATTGTGATCCAAATAATTCTTTTATCCTTTGTATCCTGCAATTCTTTGTCTGTCAATATGGAGAACATTTTTTATGTTTTCATTTATCACTAGATTGCATTTAAAATTTAGGTGTATTTGCAGATGGATCAAGAGAACAATGCAATGACCATGAATCATTCCGTTCCTGGGATAATGAAAGTGTTTGTGATGGCGAGTATGATGGTGATGTACATAGTGACATGGATGGCTCTAGCACACTTATTTCTCAGCCTTGTCAAGTGGGTTTAAGACTTTTTATTAATAATTTACACTCTCTCTTCATAAATGATTATCTTAGGTATCATACATGCTGATGAAAGGATAATATCTTTCATCATACATTTATTCCTTTATCATTAATTTTAATTTCAACACAGTTTTGCCAAAAATTATTGTAGTTTGAACTTCAGTATGATTATTTCCAAATAACACAGATCAATAAAATAGAAGTCCAGTATGACAAAACATCCAAACAAGTCGATGTTCAGGCACTGAAAATTACTCTTTGGGACCATATTCAAGAATCTGTTCAAGTTCCTTTTCAGGTATACTAAGGTTTCTTCATTTCTTAAAAAGGCTCTGTCTGGTACTCTATATTCCATGTCTAGTTATAAACTTTCACAAGTATCATTCCCTTTCTAGCCTTCCCTCACGAAAATAGGTTGCTTTCTGCAATATGTTCCTTTCATGACATGCTTTCTAGCCTTCCCTCCACATTCTTCTGTATGACTCTTGCATTGCTAATGCTGTTTGTTTTTGCCTTACTGTTCTATATCCGTGGTTAATCAATTTTATTTTTTGCTGAGGTTGAGTGGTAGGTTCTAATTCTTGCATCTAATATTTTTTTGACCCTTTTTCATTTTAAAGGGTCAAAAAGAAATGATATCTTTCAGGTATATATTGGCCAACTTTCCTAGTGAATGCAATGCTGCTGCAACTGTTAGTGACGTCTCTCCTCATTTGTGCTTCATATGCCTATTGCATTTGGCTAATGAGAAAGGGCTGAGCATCCAAAGCTGCCCCAACTTAGATGATCTTGGCATATGCCTTTCAGACGTTGGTGCCACTCAAAGTGTAACAGTATAGATACTTCTTCACTCAACGATATCTTTACTTCAGGAAATAGTAAATATTTTGGTAAGTTTTTATGTGCAGTTCTCTTGCTTGCTCTGATGCTTTTATATGTTTGCAGAAAAGACTAGATTTTCTCCCTTACTTTTGTCCATAGGCAAGACCTCATCGGTGAACTACTGAACCATTTTTAGGTTATAGATAAATATAAGATTAATGTGGTCCTTACAAATAACCTCCAGGTAGCCTATTTCTAGAACGATATCACATGCTTTGAACCCGTAATAACAGGTATAGAAGCATCTGCTGTAGATCTATTTAGCACTATCTGTTAGTTCATATTCCCTGTTAACGCTCTCAATATTAAGTGAGAATTATGAATTTGATTCCCCATCTTCAAAGTTATATTAATAATAATGAAACGAAAGACTTAAAAAAAAAAATTTTGTTAAAAGAATGTAAATGAGGGTTAGCGTAATTAGTAAGATGAAATTGCGTCGACTCAAGGGTCCAGTTCAATTCCTATTGATGAATCATCAGATTGTTACTTGAATTTTCAAATTATTCCTTTCCAGTTAGAGCCCTTACATCAGATCAGGGTATAAATCCTTAAACCTTTTTCAGTAGGCTCTGAATCCACTTGTTAAATCAAGAGCAGGATATGCAATTAATAGCAGCTTGGATACCACATTTTTTTTTTGGGTACAACATTGTCGGGGATCACTATTAATGAGCTAAGTTACACCAACCATAGCAATTAGGCCCACCAAAACATTAAAGCATTGGGTTCATGAGTCTATCTACTTCATTTAGTCCATTATCAACTAACGTGAGACTCCATCACACTTGAACTTGAAAATCTCATCAATTTCGTGAAACTTATCATTAGTATGCTCCCCCTTCCTTTGAGTATCCCAAGGCCAAAGTACTCAACTCGATTCCTAGCCAAATACTTAGTTAGTTCGAGCCACTCTGATACAACTGTTAGACGGATTCAGGAGGAGCCCATGACGGGACATTGCCATCAATGGACTAAGCTGAACTAACCACAATAAGTAGGTCTAATACCATGTCTCAAACTAAAACTTTAAGACATTGAATTCATGATTGTATCCACTTATATCCTACCAATTAATGAGAGATTCTATCACACTTGAAAATCTAAACAAATATGATACATCTTTATGTTGCATTCCCGTGCCATGTGACTCATGTGAGTACTGATACAAACTTCGCAGTTCACGTTTCTTTTTTTATCTATATTTGTCGATATTATATTAATAAAGACAAATTTTCCACTTTAGATTATTCTGTTAGGGAGATATTATTATTAATTATTTGTTTAATAATTTAAGAAAGCATGATTTTTTTAAATATATTGTAGTAATTATTTAAAAATTTAAAGATAAACATAAAAAATATAAAATTATAAATGTTTTTCATTCTTCATTATAGTTGTTTTTTAATACTTTTTAATTTTTTTGTTATATATTATTGTAATTAAATGTAATATTATTTATTTTATCGTTAATAAAAATGCGCATAAACAAGCATTTAAGGCCGATTAATATGTCAATAACTATATTTATATTTATACAGTTATAAAGGAATTTTTTTTATTTGGTATAAATCCCTTGGTTTTTAAAATTCACTTGAGTCATGAGTCATGAGTCATGACTATCTGTGGAGTAGAGTTAGATGGGATTCACAAAGGAGTTGACTGTTTGTTACTTGTTTTTAAAAATTAATAATAACAATAATAATAATAATTATTATTATTGATTCAAATATAAATATAAAAACTAAATACCCTTTACTCAATTAAAGTTGTCTTTAAACACTTTAATTTTTCGCCTTGCGGTTATAATTTACTTTATGTATCCTTTATTATTTTTATTTTTTATCTAAAAAAACTTATTGACAGAAGGTCAACGTATGAGTTATTATAAAGGGAATTCCTCACCTGGTCATAAGTTTTTCAAAGTACCATTAATATTTCAGTAAACTTTAATCAAAAGATAAAAAATTAAGTATTCGTCACGTTGCAACTAATTTGAAATTCTTCAGCTTGTCAACTGGTAATTACAATTTTTCTTTTAAATTTAATTGTTGTGCGAATAGTTTTCATGATTGTTTAACAATATGCTGTAATATTATTCACTGAGTTTGACATTTCATTGTTTAATAATAGCATAAAATTAAATTATTTTACTTTAAGTAAAACTTTGTTGTTACAATGAACTCTTGATCATTAAATTTTTTTTTTGTAATCTTAATTGAAAAATGATTGTACCAGTTTTTTTTTTTCAATAGAAAAATCGTTGCAATCAAATTTTTTTTTTTGGGTAAATATTCATGCCAAAAAGAATGGCTACCTATAAAAAATTGATGAATATTCTGTTGGGTTTGCTCTTTTACTAAAGCCCAAATGGGTTATTAGTATGAGAAGAGCCCAAGGAACCTAGAGCCCAATGAGCTAGGGTTTCTTGGAACCCATATAAATAGTACCTCTTAAGTCATCAGCCTCCAAGGTCTTTTTTGTGAGAAAGAGGCAAGCTCTGAATCTAATCAGTGCCCACACACTTCCCCTTCCTCCTCGAGAGATAGTTTGGAAGATCTGCCACAGTCCAGCTTCAAGGAGGTTGTTCGTGCTGCGGCGCTAAGGTGAGCTGTTCATGAAGAGGAATCCTACAAGGGAAGATTCTACACGACACCTGCGCACCGAGAGGTAATTGTGAAACAAGGATGATTCGGTAAGCATACCAATGTACTAGGTCCTAAACCGCTTCCGCATAAATCTAAGATTTCCTTCAATTGGTATCAGAGCCTTGGCTGTACATTGGTATGTGAATCTAGTTTCACTATTCATGTAATTAGTTTTGCTTCTTGAAATGTGGCACCTAGGGTTCTAGGATTATGGTATGAATCTAGCATGTGTATTTTATAATTCATTTTCATAAAAGTTTAAATTTTAATCGGTAAAAATGCTTTAATCCATGGTTAGGATCTCTCGTGTATTTCTCGATTTGTAACAAGGAGGCTAATCCCATATGATTAGGTTTCCTCCTTGCTGTTTTCATTTATTTTCGAAATTTTTGTGTATTTTTCCAATATTTTGTAAAAGTTCAAGATCGAGAAACCGCGAGTAAGATGCGCAGTCAGTACTGTCGAAGACTTTTCGAGGTCTTCCCGATCTCGGAATCAGGAGATCTATATATGGTTGGAAAGAGGACGGAAAGACGAACGCAACGGTGGGTGGATCACCGCCATCGGAGACTCCACGCTCCACCACGCGCCTCCACAAGAGGCTGAGAGTGGCCGCCACTCTCCAGAAAATAATGGGAGAGTGAGGGAGTGTCCGGCCACCTTTTTGGGTGGTTCCGGCGGCGGTGCACTCGTCTCTACGCCGTCCTTCCCCTGGAGTTTCAGCCTGATTTGACTTCGGGTGACGGCGCGACAGACCTGACGGCTAGGGTTCCTCTTTCGCGTCCTAGGGTTTCTCGCCAAAGGATTGGGTCTTTGGGCTTTTGGGTCCATGAAACCCTAAAGGGGCTTGAGACAGATACTATGGGCTAGGCGAAAGTTGAATTCCAAAGTTGTATTATTTTATTTTATTTTATTTTATTTTCTTTAAAATAGGAAGGCCATGGATTAAAGTAATTATGATTTATTATTTAATGCTTTTATTGATTGGTATAAATTATATGATAGATAACATGCTTTATTGCGATAACATGCCATATAGAATAGGTGGTGCCATATTGTTGCATAACTTGTATGATTGCATGAGCATAATAGCTATTATGTCTTCAGCGACTAGTATGATAGTTATTATAGGATTATTTTGATTTTAAATCATCCTAAGAAATTAATTAATAATTATTATGATTTTTATTAAAAATCTAGATTAATAATTGAATTAATTAATTTTGGATTATTAACATCAAGACAAATAATCGTTATGGAAATTATTTTGATTTCAAATTATCCTCATAAATGATAATTATTATGATTGTTGCAATCTAGATTAATAATTAAGTCAGCTATTTGGATGATTTAAATCTAGAAAAATAATTAGAGAAAATTTCTTGAGAGAATTCTTTTATTTTGCGAGTAATTTGTGGGTTTTTCTGAAATGGTCATGGAATAACACACGCTGCATACAACATTCATGTATCATGATTGTTTGGAGCACACGCTGACGTAAAGTGACCGGATTTCAGGACCTTAATACTTTCAAAATTATGTTAAGCTTAGTGCACGTTTATCGGCGCTCTTTCTTATATAGTTTTTGAAATCAAACAAAGGATACTCTCAATTAAATAATTCTTGGAAATTAGAAAATGTTGCTTATGTTGAATGGAAGGAGATTTAAATTAAGAGATTAATTTAACCTTCAAGCGCATTATAGGACCATTAATAAAATAATCATGTGAAGTCCCATCGAATAAGCATGATTGGATTTTATTAGATTGGACTTAAATATCTATGGGAGGAGATTTAAATTAAGAAATTAATTTAACCTCCAGGCGCATTGTGGGCCTATCAATAAAATAATCATGTGAGGCCCCAACGGATAAGCATGATTGGATTTTATTGGGCCTTAATAATTTCAAAATTTTAAAGTATTGTACGTCCCATCGTCGATAATACTAAGTTATTAAAGATAATTTTGAAATTAAACAATGAATTCGACTGGGCTTATGAAAATTCTCAAACAAAAATGTTGAATGGGTGAAGGTTTTAAAAATTAATTAATTTTAAAACCTGCGGGCTCCATTTGTGAGTTTATTAGTGAAATGGTTATCGCTGAAGCCCCATCGGATAAGGATAATCAGATTTCACTAGATTAAATCTTAATAATTTCAAAATTTTAGTAAAGTATTGTACGGCCCATCGTCGGCAATGCTTAGACACTAAGGATAATTTTGAAATTAAACAATGGTTAATTACATTCAACTTTGGTAAAATTGTTAACCCTCCCATCGAGGCTCTGGCAATGGCACTGAAGGCTC